CTGCTGATCCCATTTAATAATAGGCTCTGTGAATTAGTGGGGTTTTTTTGAGGGGGTGAAAAACCATGAAGTCTGCCTTCCTAAACACTTTGTTTTGGATTTTTCCATTCTGTAGTTCCCCTCTGGAGCTGGGACAGAGCTACTCCCAGCTGATGGTCCTGCCTTCCCCGGTCAGCTGCCCCTTCTCGTCACTGATGGTCACGCTTGGGCTGCTGGCCAGCTGCTGGCTCTTTTCCTGGCTGGAATTGCAGGAGATTCCCCTGTTAACTGTAAGATGAAAGGTGTATTATGCAGCTTGGAGAGCAACCTCACGGGTGGGGCAACCTGGGACTTTGGGTGGGTATGGGAGGGGACCAGAGCTGTGCCCTCTGTAGGCTGTTGACCTGGCATCTGCTTCAAGTGAGAGCTCTGATGACCTCCTGCTCTCTCTGGTCAGCAGATGACACTTGCCCACACTCCCCAGGTTTTGTTTCCGAATACTTCCGGCAGCTCCCTAATGCGTGTGTGCGGACCGGCCCTTGGCCTGAGCACAGGTTTAGTCCAAGACTCCTGTTATGGAATGAAGCTCATGGAGTGAACTGTGTGTCTTCTCTGCCCTGTCTTCAGCTGGGGGAGCTGCAGGGGGGGCAGGGTTCCCAGCGAGGGCTGCCTGAACCCTGTGTCTGCTCCTTGCACCTGGTAGTAACGAGCAGATAGTATTAGGTAAATGATTACAAAACTCCTGTAAGTCAGGTTATTCCTCCGAAGCCGTTCGCCTGGCCTTGAATTTCAGGCTCTGAATTGGGACCTTCGCATGCCTGATGGGGCAGGACATGGATTTACTCCTGTTCCGGGAGGGAATTGAGCTTGAAGTGCCATCTCTTCTGATGGTGTCACTTTGCACCACTGAAACAAGCAGAGCCCCCCACTCCATTCCCACTCCCTGTCCCTAAAAAGGTGGGTGCCCTGCCAGGACAGCACCCTGACCCCATCGGCAGCAGGAAGGCTCCTCCAAAGCGATGGATTTTACCCGGGGCATGTCAGCGCAGGGGCCGTGCGGTGGCCAGGCTGCCCCGGCCACACCGCAGATCACGGAATTTGCTTCTGGCTGGGGCTGGAAGGAGGAAGAGATGGGGAATGTGCTGATGTTATCTGGGATCAGTGAGCTGTGGGAGCCTGTGCCTCAGCTGCTCTGGGCAGTACAGGCTTTTCTGTTCCAGGGATTTTAGCCACCCGTCCAGCCAGGCAGGAGGCAGCTCACGCCCTGGGGAAAGGGTGAGCACGAAATGGCAGCTCTGGTTGGCAGCCGGTGTGGTTCCTCCTCTGTCCACCCAGGAACCGGTGCAACTGCTCGGCAGGGAGACAGGTGGGATATGTAGCCATGGGGATGGGCAGAGGTTTCCAAGGGGTGAGAGCAGGAGCAGCTCCTGCCTGGGGGATCCGGGGGGGGCATCAGCCCACGGCATGAACTGCAGCAGCGGGTGGGGAACGGGTGTGAGCTCCGCAGGCGCTGGAGCAGAGAGCGGGAGGTGCAACTTCCCCACAAAGGAGGCAGGAGAAAGCCTGGGGAGAGGGAGCCCTCCGGGCCAGGCCGAACTGTGCCGGGGCAGCCATTCCACAGCCCCTCCGGCATCGGCCTCGGCAGACGGAACACCCTCCGGCACCCTCCTGGCTGGGCTGTGTGCTGAGAGCCACGGGTGTGAACCACCTCGCCAGATCCCAGCTCTGCCAGCAGCATCCATCCCACCCACTTGGGAAACGAAGGCAGGGGGAAGCGGGAGCCCACGGAGAGGGGAGTGTGGCGCAGAGCAGGATGCTGGGATTTGCGTGGGCTCTGGGTTTTTTCCTCTGCTTGGTGCACAAACGTGGTGTTTAAGCTCTCCCGTAGTTCCCTGTTTCAGCCTGGAGCTCCCGACACCGAGTTCCTCTTAAGCACAGCCCTGTTCCACCATCCCCACCGCTGCCCTGCACTGGGACACTCCCAGCAGGCACCAGTCACAGCCTGGACCCCAAAAATCCCCAGGAGGTGACCCCGAGCTTGGTCTGGTGAGTGCCAGCAGGGTCAGAGCCTCCGGCCCAGGAGCGCGCGGGCTCGGGGCCACCCCACTTGTGCCACATGGGGTGCACGTGGGCAGCCGTGCAGGGGGTCCCTGGGCTGGATCTGCATCTGCTCAGGCCAAGAACAGCCCCATCACGCTGCCAAGAAGTTGTCAACCCCCCCCAAAAAAACATCCTGGGGGGCAGGCAGGGGGATCACCAAAGCTTCCAACCGCTCTGGAATATCTCCCGCTGCTTGAGCGTGCGCTCGCAGCCCGGGAGGGCATCGGGACAGAAAGGCTTTATTTCAGCTCATCGCCCCGATCCCGCCGTGCCGCCCCCCACGATGAATGCTGCCCTTGTTGGACACCGGGCACGCCTGCTCCCACCCCGCACGCCCGTCCCTGAGCCGGGCAGGGCGATGGCACGGCCACCCAGATGGCAGAAGGTTCCCCGCTCCGACGCTGCCCAAGTGCAAACCGAGGCTGGTCACCAGCCCCAGGCTTTTGTCTGCCCAGATGCACAAAACTGCCCTGTCTTAAGCAGGAGAAATTGCATCATCAGTGACACAAACGAGGCCCTCGTGCTTGGTGCGGCCACTCTGGGAGCCAACCCAGAGCTGCTCGGGACAATCCCTTTCTATTTGGATCAATATTTCTACTTATTGATGGAAAATTCCTCTTTCTCAGGACACCAAGCACATAAATACTCCGAGGTTTTGAGGTTTAAACTCCTGACTGGGAACAGAGCTCGCTGCTCCGTGCCCTGTTGTGGGGTGGACATGACCAGGGCAAACGTCTACAGGAGATGGCCAAACCCCACCTGTCTCCTTCCACCATCATCCAAGAAATTATTCCAGAAGTTCTCCTTGCAGTCCATAATTAGGGCAGTTTCCTTTTTTTTTTTTAAATAAAAAAAAAAGCTGATTTTCAACCAAAAGCAACATCCATCACCCTCACTCACAGCTGCTCGAGTCATAAAGTTCCCGATTTTCCCCAAACTCAGGCTGGGAAAGCACTTGGCCCCGGGGAATGGGCTGCTCCATCCACACACAGGGGACACGGACACAGGGGGGACGCTGCTGGGGGAACCCCATGGCGTGGCCATCGCTGTGGTGATCTCTGCCACCCCACAGGAGTTTGGGGGTGATGGGGCCACCTCTGCTTCATGTCCCACCAGGATCTGCCCAAATTAAAAGCTTTTGGAGGACAGGGGTGGTGAACATCACCTCGGGACAGACCTGCCAGGGCTCTGCCCTCTCCTGGGGGGGGCGGGGGGGATGTCCCGAGTGCTCCCCTGCTCACATATGTACGTGCCCTATGGAGAGTATGTGATGTCACCCTATGGAGAATGCCCATGACCCCTGGAGAGCACCCATAGCTCCTGGAGGGCATCACTGCTCCACGGTGAGCGCACGTAGCCCCATGGAAAGCACGTGTGGTCCCGTGGGGAGCACCCATGGGACCAGGGGGAGCACCCTTGTGACACGACAGCACTCACCACCCCACGGAGAGCAGAGGTGGCCCCGTGGAGAACCCCACAGTCTGGCCATCATAAAGCCATTGGGTCCAAAATGCAAAACCCTCCCCGCGGCGTGCGAGCCCCGGGTTTTATTTTGCAGCTGATGAACTTGGAAGGGCGGGTTTAAGGAAAAAAACTCTCCTCCAGCCTCTTCACTGGCAGTTATTTGAGGGCATTGAAAGAAGATAATTAAAAACCATAATAATAATAATAATAATAACTGCATCCAAAGTCTCTCCACACAAACACGAAGCGTCCACAGCGTTCCCAGCACCGCAGCTGGAACCGTCCCAGCTCCAGCACCCAGCCCACAGCATCCCCCGGGGCTAAATCATGCCTGGGTGGACAGATCCAGGGAGGGAGAAGGGTGCCTG